TAACTTAGGTTATCAAAAGTGTGGTAATCTACTGGTAGTTAAATGATTGGTTTTTTTGTACTCTCGGTTCAAACTTTATTTAGTACGAAGAGTTATTTCTAAAAATTATTTACGGATGTTAAGGAAAATTATATATAGATTGAAAGCTCAAAACTCTCAATCTTCATAAGGCTTTTAAACTCAACTTATTTAAGTTATTGGACTTGTTAATGGGTTAAAACAAAGATTACCAACAAATGTTTATTTTTTTGGGTTTTTAATGAGTTTGAAGTTAATATATATGAGGTGTATTAATAAAATATTTTTATTGGTTGATTTTTTTGCTGAGATGTCATGTTGAGAAAACTTGAAAAAGCTTATGTGTCAACTTATGGAGAGACTTATGAGTTATTGTTGTGTTGATTATATCTATAAAATGTATACCAATATATTAAAAACTGCTGACAAAAATATATCTCTATCGTATGTTAATATATTAAAACTTGTTGACCAAAATGTATATCTGTCGTATATCAATATATTAAAGTTGTTGACCAACCAAAATAGTAAAAAAAAATCTCATTTTGGGTTATTTACTAAATGTTACTTTTACTAATTATATAAAATACCAGACATTCTCTACCATGTGTATATATATGAGTGATTGACAACATTTACTATTCTCAAAACATATACGAGAGTTTTCAAATCGTCAACGTAGAAATCTGAACACACATTGATGGTTATCAACTCTCTTCCGGACGACATAGTCCAGGAAATTCCGTGTCGTGTAAGTGCTAACTCGTTTACTGACCTATTCAATGCGAAGAAGGCGTGTAAGCCTTTCCTCAGAAACTCAGAAAGTGCATCTGTTTACAAGGCAGTTGAACTGTCCAAGTTTCAAGGACATTTGAATATCTATTATGGCGCAGATGAAAAGTTTCTTAAGATGTGTTTATCCAACAACAATCCGGCAGCGCTTTACAATATGGGCATCCAAAGTTACTTCCAAGATAACAAAACAATTGAGGGACTACATCTCCTTAAGTCAGCAGCGGACGGTGGATACGACCGAGCAATGTACGTGTATGCAATGCTGCAGCGAACTTTAGGGGATGCATATGAGGCAGGAAATTATATGTCGCGATTGACGAGAAATGCTACCCGAAAGGTGAGGTATCATTTATCACAAGAACCAGGGGCTGCTTGGGAACAACTTTTACCAAAAATTTTCGTCGAGAAACAACTTGAGTTTGATTCAGCATCACCAGTTTTCGGTTGCTACTGTAATGATCTCCAAGTGTTCTATTCCACATTCAGAGGAATGGTACTAGATAACCTCTTGATTTTTGCTTCGTGCACTTGGAACACTCATGGTTTCTTCAGAATTTTATTAATCATATGTGTTTCTGGATTGCTCAGTCGGCTTAGTCTATTTAACTTTTTTTTTTCTATTTTCTGCTCTATATGTTATGTTATGTTTGAGCCTCAACAGTCGAATGCATTTGCCCTCGTTTTATGTTATGCTATGTTTGTTTTGCTCTAAATGATATGTTTTGTTTAATCCGCTCATATTAATATTTGCGTTTTGTCTGTGCATTGAGTATCTTCAAGAATTTAGAATTTTCAGTGATTATAACGTCTGTGTTTTGTATGTTGACGGCTTGACTGTTGTATATATTTTGTCTGCAAAATTTATCTTATTTAGCGTAATATTCTTTATCTTAACTCAATTTTAATTTGGGCCTTCAAACAATTTTTTTTTTTAATGTTTGACTTCAACCCAAGCCCACTTCGTTGTGAAAACTCAAATTCGATCTATAGAATGAACAAAAGTTTGTGGGTTTAAAGAGAGATCTTTATTAGATTAAAGCCGGAGCTTGAGAGAATACACGGTGGTTTAGATCGTCGGAATAAGAACGCCGACCTAAACTTTTAAGAAAAGTGAATCGAAAGCTAAAACAATAAGATTATTTAGTTTGCCCTAGGTCTCGAGAGTAGATTTTTGGATGATCTGAAAAGTCGAGGACTTCTTTTATTTATAGCCGACCATGTCGGTCTCTTGAAGATAACTATGTAATCCTGAAATAGGAAAATTGCCTTTGCCGATAAGACCAATCTTCCGTATTTCCCGGATCTAGCCCGATAAAATAGAAGCTTTCCATTTATTTGGCCGACATGAATATTCTTTGAATTTCCAAAATGGACTGACCAGATTTCATGTCGACTTGTAGAGATGGTACGAATCTCATCTCTAACACTCGTAAAAAAAACTTACTTTGTTGATGGACCTTTTGATTTTACTATTTAATGAGCATAAGGAAGGGTTATTGAAAGATAGATTATAAAGAAATTTTCAAATTTTGAGATTCCATCATTATTGGTTTATAGATTTTTAAAAGCTTAATAGAATCCATTGTTATTGGTTTAAAGATTTTAAAATTCTACTAAAAATCATTTGTTATTCAAAAAGTTTAGTTTTTAAAGATTCTATGATTCTATTAGTTCCTGGGTTATGAATTTTAAACAATTACACTAGTAAAATAAGATTTAACAAGACTTTCAAAATACTACATATATGGCTTAGATTCTCAAAGTTATTATAATAAAATATTTTGATAGATTTTCTAAATATACAATTTTTTTCGAATTTAATAAATCTTTGTTACAAATTTAACAAAATCTTTCAACTCTTCAAATCAATCAAAACTTTATAACTGCATCTTCCAATAATCCCTCTAAAATTATGAAGATTTTACTGGGAGAGGGATTTAGGTAGATTTTGAGAATTTTGAGATTCCATCATTATTGGTTTATTGATTCTTAAAATCTTACTAGAATCCATTGTTATTGGTTTGATTTTAAAAGTCTATCCAAAATTATTTGTTATTCAAAAAGTTTGGATTTTAAAGATTTTATTATAATCTTATGTTACTGGGACATAGATTTTAAAATCTATTATATTAAAAAGGAATCCACTTTATAAGAATAACCTTTACTTAATGTGTTATTTACCTAATATGCCATTGGACTTTCATTATATATATACAATTTATTAAATCTATTCTATTCATTAAATCATTAAAGGTCTAATTTTGTCGACAAAAAAAAAGTCTAATTTTTTATACTTTTCTCATTAGAGGCCCAATATTTTGTTATCCTTCTTATAAAAGACTCATCTTTATTTAAAATTTAGAACCATCTATTTTTTTTTTGTCTTTAATTCTAAATTTAATAAAAAAATATATAGAAAATGTTAAAAATAATATTATTAAGGTCTAAATTTTATTTTTTCCCAAAGAACCTAAAATATGTTAGGCTGAGACTATATGTCAATATTCTTTATTTTTTATTTTTACAATTGGACTTCCTAAATAACTGTTCATATACCCCGAAAACCAAGTTTATAATTAAAATACAAAATCTATATCGGTTCGTCTTATATATATTTTTATTAAATATAATATTTTATCACCATCATATATATATTCAATTATTTATATAATATTAAGTATTTTTTAACAGCGTAATATTAATTATTTAGTATAAGAAATTTCCATTTTTATTTTGTTTTGCAAAAAGAAAATAGAAAAAAAAAGACGAAGAAGAAAACAAACAAAAACAAAAATCTGAAAAAAAAATTACAGAAAAAAACGAAAAAGAAAAATGAGAAAAAGATGAAGAATAAAGAAAAATATGGAACAAAGAGAAACAAAGAAAAAAACAGAGAAAAAAATTAATAAAAATAAGAATAAAGAAAGAAGGGAGAAGAATAACATAAAAAAGGAACTTAAAACAAAAATGGAGAAGAAGAGAAATACAGAAAAGAAAAACAGAGAAAAAAACTAAAGAAAAAAAAAACAGAAGAACAAAAAGTAAAACAGAAAAAAAATGGAGAATAAGAAGAAAAACGGAGAAAGAAAAGAGAAGAACAAAGAAAAAAAAGATGAATTTTTAAAAATAAGGGAATGGAGAAAAGAGCAAAAATAAAAAATTACGTAGTTATAGTTATAATATATTTGAATCAATAACAAATAACTTATAATATTTTATTTTCAATTTTATATTTTTATACTTATAAAATTTAAATTCAATCTTTATAATATATAAAAAAATCTAACCATGAAAATAACACATTTATACCTTATTTTTTCATACCACATTTTATAATTACAAATTTTAATATTTTTTAAACATTATCCTGCGCGGACGCGCATGTTAGAATCTAGTTTTAACTTATAGAACAAGATTTTAGAAGACTTTCGAAATATTACCTATGTGGCTTAGATTTTTAAAGTCATTATAATAAAATATTTTTATAAATTTTCTAAATAAACAAACTCTTTCTAAATTTAGCAAATCTTTTTAACAAATTTAACAAATCTCTCAACTCTTAAAATCAATCAAAACTTTATAATTCCATCTCTCAATAACCCTTTTTATGGTTCGGATTTGTATGCCAACAATGTTGCTATATTTTTGTCTATTTAGTTTGTGTGTTTAAAATATCTCTCTTGAATACTCTCTCTTTTTGAAAAATTGATCTTTATGATTTTCAACATTTATTTAGAAACAATAACTACTTGATTTTACTACGTTTTATTTATTTTAATTACTATTTTGTTTTTAAATAATGACATTAACATAATTTTCTTCTTTTCAATTAAAGACAGAGAAAGTTGTCCACTTACGATCCAGCATCACCAGTTTCCGGTTGCTACTGTGATGATTTTCTTCTCATAAAAAGTATCCGATTACATTTTATATATGATCTTGAATTTTGATAGAAATACATTTTCGTATAAGATATAGCAATTTTAGTATTCTGTATTATAATTTTTTTGTTTTTTTTGTCAACATATTATATTTTTGTTTATAATATAGAATTCTGTCAAGTTTTATCTATTATATATTTTACTAAAATTTAACCTAAATTTGACATGCCTTGAAAATGGATTACAATTTTTAATTGTTTTCATTTTAAATAATTTATTTTATATAGTTAACTCAATTCCATTTTCTCACCTACCTTTCTCGATCAAACCACATTCCTTTGGCTACGACGGTGTTTGGGTTGCTTCTGGTTTCTCCATGTCTATTTCTTCCTCTACCCACTTCCGCTCTTCCATTTGTCCATCTCCGATCTCAGGTAAGGTCCTCTGTTTTCTTTTCTTTCATGGAATTGTTTGATTTCTTCGCTTATGTTCGTGGATTTTACTGGAATTTGTTGTTCTCCGTAGTTTCTTGGAGCTAGAATGGAGATTAAGTGGCATCATTCTGCAGTTTAACGCTACTGTGAATTGTTCCGCAATTGAATTTGTATGATTTGGTCTTTTGGTTTATATGAATGTCTATTTATTCGTTTAAATTGAAATCGAATCCCTGTTTTGTCATCCCTAGTGATGGATTTGGACTATTAGTCTCTTACCTGAGATTTCTCATATTATTTGCATCAAAGATTTCAAGTATGTAGCGTGAATCAATTGGAAATGTTCTTTCGTTGTGCAGCTACTTTGGAAAGGAGATTAGGAGCAGAACATTCATGTAAACAAATCAATAACAAAAGAAGTTCTTCAAACTTGTGAGTTCTTGCTGCAGTTTTTCTCTGTTTTTGTTAGGATTATCATGTGGAGATTTTAATTGCAAATAGAGACAAATAGACAATGTTTGTTGTTTAATACAAAAAGGACATTGGCTAGAGCTTAGAAACATATATTAATTTACGTGAATTAGATCAGTATTGGAGCTAATATGGTACAAAAAAAACTTAACTCCTTTCATATTTGTGGATAAGTATGATTTTCTTCTCTCTTCAACTTTATTGATAATTGCTAGAAGAAGCTTTTTACTAATTTCTTTTCTGCTCTGTCCAGCTTTGTATTCAAAGCCACGAAGGTTGCTTATGATGTCCCAATCCGTTTAGCTCTTTCTCTGAAGAATATTACCTCCTTCCTCACGAAATCCCCCCCTTGCCTTGTCATCGAAGATGTTTTCAGTTTAATTAATTTACAACATTACTTCTTTGTAGTTCAACCGTGATCAGCTTTATGCTCAACTAAGGTTCAGAGATTAGGATTTCGAGCACCTAAACTAACCATCTCCGAGAAGCTGCCTCTTAGGATTAGGAGTTCAGGTTTGTTCTATTCCTCAATCTCACTGCAAACTATGAACAAATTCAAAATTTGGATTGAATTGAATTGAATTTATAAAGCTAGAAAATAAAAATTCATATAGTTACATTCAAATGTCCTTCATCCTGAAAATTCAAATATCATTAGAAGCAATAACAGTAGAGTTTTGAGTTGGAAAGTATTTAGTTTTGTCTTATAGAATTAAGGAGCTATGCAAATTCTATTATATACTTTATAGATCAACATATCTGAGATCAATAATTGAAATAATAATAATTACACATTTACAAAAACTTATGTTAGTAATCAAATTGTCACATTATTATAGTTTGAATTCAAAAGACTTACTTTGAGTTTTCGGTTTCGAGATCAATCTTCTTCTTTGGTTTGTTGTTCACTTCATGTGTCACCATTTCCAATATTACTCCCAGAACTTCTTTATATGATAACAAAGGACGAATTTAGATGTTTTATTTGTATTATTCAAGATATTCTAAACTAAAGAACTAAAACTTATACAACTTTCATCTGTAACTTTTAAAGACTCAAACTTTTCAAGAAACAATCAAAATCCAATATGATTGACTAGTGATCTAATGCACTGTCTAAACTCTTTGTTGGACCTGCATTTGTTAATATGGTTCAATATAAAACGCATAATAAATCATGTAACATTAGACATAAAATATGAAATCATTTATGAACTAACCGTATTTCTCTTTCCTTGGTTCTTTTTGGTTATTTCTTGCTAGTAGGAGCAGATGAGTAGAGCATAAACTATTTCCGGAAGAACTTGTTTGTCATTTGCATTCACCAACCTATTTTAAAATGTTTCACATCCTTAAGGTATGTGATCATATTTGAAATAACTACTTTGTAAAAGCTTTAGATATAGGTTTAGATGACTTTGTTTGAGGTGAAAGTTTTTATGAGACACCTCGTTGGTATTTATATTAGTTCGAATTAGGTTTCAAAATCGGTGGGGATGATATATTAAGATTGATGCAAATCTCAATTTCAATATTTAGGCAGAATTTAAAGGAATAAACCTTATTTAACGGATTTGATTAGTGGATGTAGAGCGACTAATATATTTGGTATCCTGTTAGGATATCGTTTTGAATCAATCAAATTTAGTCGGATATATTATTGGATAAGTGAATCTTGAATATCCTATAACTAATATTATCTTTCCTAAATATAGATATCTTTGATTTGTATGATCATTAAATATTAGGTCGTTGCCATACTTTGGTCCGAGATCTTCTGATATCATTTAAGATATTTTTTAGTTGATCAATAGAAAAAAAGTTTAGTAGTTGCCATATTTTGGTCCGAGATTTTCTGATATTTGATTTGCAATTCTAATTTTCAAAACCGGTTGTGAAATTGAAATTTAAGAAACTGGTTTCATTCAAGTTAAATAGATCCGCGTCTTTGTTAATGGGTTTACGGATCGATTTTTTTTGTTTGGACATGTTCGAGTCATGTCAACTGATTTAACTCAGTTAACTCGCTGCTTACCCTTAAATAAACATGTTGCCAAACACAATTTACTCAATAAGGTAATGATATTTTTCGTAAATACATTGTTTTTTTCGAATATATGAAAAAAGTGCTTCTCAAATAATATTATAGAGATAATATCGAGGCTAAATAAAAATCTGGAGAACCAAGCAAATGTTATAAAATTTATGAAAACACTAATAGTTGCACGGGAATAAAAAAACGAAAGTACATAAATCATAAAAAAAAAACAAACAAATCCAAGAACTCTAAATCTTGAAAACAGGTATTTGCTTTAAGGATTGCCAATTTTGTTATTATCTATATTGTTCTTCAAGCGCTTCTTTGGTAGCCTGAAAAGTTTTTATAAAACTCATTCATATATACCAGAAGAAAAAAACTTATACTTTTTCGAAAAGCTTACATAGATATAAATTTGGTTACTTCGGCAAGACGAGTATTTACCATGATCACAGTAGGATGCGTAGTAGATATAATAACTTTTCTTAAATATATATACGGTCGAAAGTTATCAAACAAATCAAATTTTAACAAAAAATGCAAAAAACGCAAAAAAACGCAACAAACAACTGAATCTCACGAACCTGCATAGACCTCGACGATAGTCCATCTCGCAACACAAACCGGTATATCATTGCTACAGCTAGACCAATGAACTTCCTAGCATCACTACCAAACATCTCACATTTGATACTAACGTTATTGCTATTGAAGAATAAATCTATTTTTTTCTGGTTCTAAGGCTAGTAGTTCTAGGGGTCGACTCACTTTTTTCAAATTGTTTCTGATTATCAAGAAAAGGTAACAAAGATAGAATACGAACATAAACGAAAGAACATATATTACACCAAAAAAATAATTTAAAAAATCAGACATTTCGTAAACACCATGACGAACCTTATATCTATTAGTTCGAATGTAAGCATCGCATATCTACCAACGTCTTTATCAGGTATTCTCAGCTCGCCAACATTCACAACTTCTCCGATCAAATCTAGAAATTGAGAACTTACTCACCCAGTACTCAAATCAAACCAATACAACATCAAATTTCATAGCAATCAAACACGTAAAATAATAATTTTACATACCAACCAACGAACGTTCCGAAGAAGGCCTGATGGGAATCTGACCAAAACTTACGAAATCAAAAAAAATTCCTGTCACATGGATAAACTTGCCTATCAATCACAGTCGGACTCAGAATAAACACATCACTGCGATGAGGTGTTATCTTATAATTGTCATTCAAATCGATAACAACAAATTTCCTGACTGTAATCCAAACACCTTCGCTCAGAATAGAAGAGAAACGGTCATAATCAGCAGCATAAACGGTTCCAGAGATCTTCACACCCTGTGACACATCAATAAAATGATACAATAAAATAGACAAGTACGAAAACAACGACACAGCACCAACGAACGGAACATTATAACAGACCTTATCATCACAAAGAATCGTGCACAATCTTTTACCACACGAATGAAATGAAGTAGTCCAAACTTGTAGAATCTTCACAAAGATTACTGATTCAACAAAACCAGGTGTCAGCTATGAGACATGAAACGAAGCTGGACAACGCAAAAAACCTTTTTGTATACATTCCAAATCAAAGCGAGAGCTAGGATTAGCGTCCGAGCGTGAAACAACAATAGAAGGTGTCTCAGAGACAGAAACGTCATCTCCACTAAGAAACCCATCCGCAGTGGCATTGTCTGCAGTGGAATCATCGTCAGCCCCCTTCATCGCTTAGACTTTCATCATTGTCAGATCCACCATGTTCATCACATTCAGCATGAAAACAGCGATAATCATCGCTTACCAAATCATCATCAGAGGCGTCACAATTCCTACCAGATGATTCAGGAGTTTCACTTCCGCAATTCCCGCCAGATGAATCACAATCCATGTAATCACAATCATTGCCATCGATCTACACTTCTGCGATTGGACTATACATAATATAACGCATTCCAAATCCGAGAGAACGATGACCATGACGTGCATAATATCTATTACCAATAGTTGCGTAAATATATAAAAGTATGAGTAAAAATCACAATCACTGAGCAAACAACCAAACACTTTAGCAACAATTTGGGCAGGACATATGGTTTCGCTATAACACAAAGTATATCAACCACAAACATACCTTGTGCATTTAAGAACACATGGTACAGATTATACGATCGCAGACTGTCATCACAAAGTTGTTCATCTCGACCCATCAGAGGATCTCACAGAATAACCGAAATTAGACTATGAAATATAAAACAATGAAACCAAACAATCTCGTAACTTATATATGACCAAAAAGAAGATAGATACCTGTAAAATTGCATCCATGCAATAATGATAGAGCAAGAAGATCAGGAAAACATAGAAGTGGAATATGACGACACGACAACATACAGGGAAAAGACCATGACGTTAAAGTAGTTTGTATACAATGATGATCGTGCTTATTGTCAAGTCTATTGTAGTAAAATGTTACGAAATAACCAATAATGAGTAGTACTTACACCAATTTGTTATATAATTTTTAAAATAGGTAATATCTACAGTGAATATAACATTAATTAATTAGTTAACAATATTATTTAGGTAATTTTATGTTTAACTAACGTTTAACAATACATTAAAATATACGAATTACACATAGACGCAAATAATTATGTACACATATTTATCTACAATCAAGGCAATCTAAATATCTTTTAAAAATTCTCGGTACTCATCAACTACGTTGTTCAAATCAAATTTAATTAAATGGAATAAAGTACCAATAAAAAACAGCTAAATACTGATATTGTAAAAAGTAAATTTATCTACAAATAAGGCACATTAAATATCTTTTAAAATCTTGTTGAACTCATCAACTATACCGTACTAATCAAATCAAACTAAATAAATAAATAGAATAAGATATCAATCAAAAACAATTAGGCATCCATATCGTAAAAAGGTAAAATTTGCAAACCTACTAAAAACCCTAATATCAGAGAGAATATATATAGTCCGCTCACCGAACATAAGAATGTGTTGGAAGTCAAGATCAAGTTATACCTAAACAGAGAACCTATTCGAGTTCTCTATCATTGTGTGATGAAGCTATTACCATTCCATCTCCCACATACAAATATAATAATGGATGACGAAGAAGAATCACCACAAATAATACACAAAACCCAATTCGTAGCCTGGATGGATTGTAACCGTTTGTACCCCGAAGCGAGAGACTATATGTACACGGAGTTTTCGCTACATTGGGTTTGGCTTACTAAAACAAAAGAATGGCTTCCTCGTAACCGTCGAAGGAACATAACAGAAGACGTTGGTCTACCATTTGTACCGACGGGTTATGGTGAAATCTATTACCTAAGGCAACTACTACAAGTAAGGCGAGGACCAACATCATTCGAGGATATCAGGACCGTCAATGGCATTGTCCATAATACTTTTGCAGCGGCATATCACGCCTTACAATAAAACCAAGGACAATAGGATTGAGTAAGGAAGAAGTCATGCACAAGATCGCTTCATTAGTAGATTT